TTAATATTTTTGTAGCCAAATAATTTTAAATAAATATTTTTGTACAATTTTTATGACTTTCTATTTTATTTTTATTTATTTTTTAATAAAAAAATATTTTTTGAAATATTAATAAAATTAAAAAAATTTTATTTTAGAAAAAAAATAATAATTTTGTACAAAAGAGGAGATTACTTAAATATTTCCATAAATAGAAACAATACAAAAACAATATAAACAAATAAAATATAAATATAGGTAAATTCCAACTTTGTTTGACATTTTTAAAAACATTTGTTTATATTCCAACCTTTTCAAGTTTTTAAATAAAATAGAAAATCCGCCTGTTTTTAATAATCAGAATGAGATAAAAACAATGTTTTGTTCTAAAAATACGCCTGTTTTCCTTTCTAAAACAAAGTTGGGAAACCCTAAACAATGTTTTAAAACAAGTAAAACAAACAAGTTTTACCATAAAAATCCGCCTGTTTTCCCGCCTGTTTTCGAAATAAATTAAATAAAACTTTTTTTAATTAAAAACTTTTTTCCAAGTTTATTAAATTATTATTAAAACTTTAAAACAAACTTGACCAAGTTTAAATTAAATTAAATTTCAAGTTTAATTAATTTCAAGTTTATTTTTTCAGTCAAGTTTTAAAATTAAGGTTTTAATAATTTAATTAATTAATTAATCATTTCAAAAACTTTAAAAAAAAGTTGAAATAAAATAAAAGGAAATAAAAACAAGTTTGTTTTTAATTAAAACTTGAAAGAATATTTTGATGTGTGACGTTATCAAGTTTTAACAAAAAACTTAATATTAAGTAATTTATTAATTTTTTTATGAAATATTATTTTTATTTAAGGCTAAGATTTTTTAAAATTAATTTTTATAAAATTAATTGATTTTACCCCTTATAATAATTTTTTAAAAATAAATTTTTTATTTTATTTTTTATTTTTATTAATTAAAAAAAAATTTTTTTTTAATTTATTTTCTTAAAAAATTTTTTTTAATTTTAAAAATTTTTTTATTAAAAAATTTTTTTAATTTATTTTTTCATTTTAAATTCATTAAAATACCTCAACTTTTACAGTACACAAAATTAAATATATACCTAAATAATTCCCTTCCCCCAATACTTTTCTCAAATAATCCAATTTATTTCCCGCAATACTTACCCCTTCTTTACTTGTTTTATTTTTAAAAGCTTTTTCCTTCTTTCCTTCTTCAATTGTCGCAGAGGAGAGATTATCCCCTTGTGAGATTACTCAAATTAAAATAATATATTGATGATTGAGATAAATTTTCTCTTCAAAATTTTATTCGGAAGGAAAGGTAAACACACTTTAGAAAATTTTGATTTGATGAGTGAAGATACAGACAGGGAAGTTAATAATTAATAACAGGGAAGTTAATAATTAACTTATTAATAATCAACAACAACAATATATAACTTCAGACAGGGAAGTTAATAAATAAAAATAACAAAAAATGGGGGACAATATTTATTAGAGAACATGGGAGAGGTTGATCGGAATTCCGATTTCGAAAATTTGAGTTGATTTCCAAGTTCCGATTTCAGGCACCTTCGACCTCTGATCAGGGTGTGCCAAAAGTGATTTTAAAAAGCGAAAGACGTAAAAGCGAAACTGGCACATTCCTATCAAAGATCGGACTGGGACGAGATTTTTAACAACAATCTTTTTTCGGGATATCGAGCTCGATCCTTGTAGGACCGGTCCGGTCTCTACTCTAGTTATGTATACAAAAATTCTGAAAATTAAAATAAATTAATTTTCAATGTATCTTAAATCTTGATAAAAAAGGGGAAACATTTTTTGTTGTAAAAAACCAGTTTTTTTTGACGGCTTTTTACTTTTAAAATTTTTAATAAAAAGAATAAATTTGGAAAATTTTTAGACTAGATAATTAATCATTCCAAAAATTAATTTTAAATTTATTAGAAATTACCTTTTCTTGTTCAGTACAAAGTCCAAAAATTTATTTAAAAAATTTTTTTAAAGTGTTTTTGACTTTAGTTGGAGTCTAAAAATTTTTAACCGTGTATACCAAGGATTCTAATGACAAAAAAAAACAGAATTTCCGGTTTCGGGAATCTGGATCCTGTCGGCAAGATCTCTGATGATCCTTACTTTTAGTGTTAAGCCAACCTATTGAGTGATGGAGCTGCCTAAACGATACCCCAGAATTGTGTATACCCTAGTATAATTTAAAAAATAGGGGGCCTTTTCTTTATTGTTTTTTGAATTCTGCATTATTTAGATTTATTTTAATTAATATATTTTGAAACTAAAATAGAATTGTGGAAGTAAATTTTAAAAAAATCAGAGATTAACTTAAAAATTATTTATACTATTTTTAGAGGCCTAAAAAAGGTTTCTTTTTTTTAAGGTTATTAAAATAAACTTTGTTTGGGTATTTCAATTTTTTTATTAATTAATTAATTACTTTTGGGGAGTTAAATTTTAGTTCAATTTTCTTTTCATTTTCTTTCCTATTTAAAATTAATTAATTAATTAATTTTAATTTTGATTTAATGGGTATATAAAATCCTAAGTTTACCCCTCTACCTAAAATTATTCTTTTATTCCTTTTTTCAGTACCTAAAAATTTTTTTAATTAATTAATTAGGTATATACCTAAATAATGATACAAGAGGTATATATTTAATTAATTATTTAAATTAAAAAAATTTTTTTTTATTGAAAGAACCCTTAAGAGACGTCCCTTTAAATGACGATACCTGCTCTCGTGATACTTAATTTTTTTTCCTTTAATTTTTTCAATTTCCTAACATCTCCCCAAACCTACTCTCCCTTCTCTCAAAAAAAAAGTTTAGAGAACATGTGCCAAAATTTTTTTTTCAGATTTCCTAACATTTCCCTTTCATTCTCCCCCAATTTCTCCCCCTTAATTTTCTTCCTTGAAACAACTAATAACCACGTGCTTCTATTTAATCTCTTGTCCCAAAGTATATTTAAATAAAAATTAAATGCGCGCGTGTTCCCCCGCCTTTTTTTTCTTCCTTTTTTGTTACCTAAAATTAATTAAATAAAAGGCCAATAATAAAGAGGTAATGATCAGATCATTACCTAAAAATTATTTATTTTAAATTAATATATTGCGCTATTTATTTCTTTTTAAATTTTAAAATTAAAAAGGTTCTTTAATATATTTATTTTTTGTTTATTTAATTTAAATTTGATTTTTATATTTTATAATTCTGTCTTTTTACCCCAAAAATTAATTTATATTTTAAAATCAGAATTTTGTAAAATTCTGATTTTAAAATTTATTTCAGAATTTTTTTATCAGAATTAAATTAAAGGGAGAGAGACAATGCCGTATACTTTACATATATTTTTTTAAATTCTTCCCAACAGATTTTTTAATTAAACAATTTTTAATTAGCCTAGCATATTCCATAACACCCCCGTTAACATGTATACCAGGGCTGGAGAATTTTGAATTTTAAAAAGCGGAAGGCGGAAGCGGAAGAAGATCCAGACCAGATTTTGTGTCTACCCCAATATAGTGGACGATTTTCGTCAGATCCAAGGGCCTACTAAAGTCCAATTGTAAATAAGGTTAAAGTATCACTTTAGGAATTGAGTCATTCTTGGAGTCATTCTTAGACCACCAAAATATAAACAATATTTATTAATTAATTAATTAATTACCAGCAAGTAAACAACCCCCAAAAACAACCCCCCCCCATACTTGTTTACTGCCAATTTTTTTAAATTTTTTTATTGCCAGCCGGTCCAAAAATTTCTTTTATCTTTCGTTGATATTCCTCCTCTATTCTTCATTTTCTTATCTTTTTTTATCTCAACTTTTTTACAATAAAATCTGACAAAGAAGGAGACGTGGCAACTACCTCTATCTACCCCTATAAGTAAACGACTGTCACTAACAACGCAACAAGACTGGCGCTCATTTGGGGAAGGAACAGATATAAAATTCTATCGATTCTTTCATGTTTATGTGACCTTTTTTTCTCTTTTTCTTTCCTTTCTCTATTTTTATTATTCTTTTATTTCCAACAATTTTAAAAATTAAAAAAAATAATTATTTAAATTATTTAAATTATTCCAATAATTCTGATGAATTTAATTTTAAAAATCAATTTATACATAATTTAATTCCTTTCTTTAATTTAACAAAAGAAATAACCGGCTGGCTGTTGTTTACTTGCTTGGTAAAATAAAAAATAAATAAAAAATTGAGGAAAGTGTTTTGGGTTATCTAGGGGGTATTTAATATTTTCTAAATATTTTTAAAAAATATTTTTAAATTTATTTTTAAGGCCATAAAATATTTTATTTTTTAAAGCATTTTATTGTCATATTTTCCTTACACGTACACACAAAAGAAAATGTTTTAATTTTAAATATCAAGTTGAAACAAAATTTAAACGTTATATTCATTCATTTATTAAAAATTCTGATTTATTTTCTATTTTTAGTCACTTTGTTTTAATAATTCTGATTTTTCTGATATTGTTATTATTCTTTTTCTGATATTGTTATTATTTTTAATATTCTGATTTAATCAGAATTTTATAATTCTGATTTTTATTTCTGTATTTTTCTTGTATTTTTATATTTTTTTAAATCAGAATTTTGATAATTCTGATTTTTATAAATGCATTTAAAAATACATTTATTAAAAAAGAAAAACACAAAAAAACACAAAAAAATACAAACAAAAGGTAGCGGCGTTGTCTCTCATCTAAACTTAATCTTTATTTAATCTTATTTAATCCTGTACAAAGTTTAGAACAAAAATAAATATATTTTTTTATAATAATTCAAGTACATTGCACTTATTTTTATTTACTTCCTTTTTTCAAAAAAAAATTTTTTTTAATTTTTTTGACCAAAATAATTTTTTTAATAATTTTTTTCGATTTATTTTTCAATTTAATTTTTAATTATTTTTTTTCTAATTTAAGAATTTCTTTTAAAAATCTAATTTTACTACTCTCTTTTTATTTTTGAAATATTTATATAAAAAATAAAATTATGAATCCATCAGAACCTATTGCCGGTTTTGAACAGATTGATATTGCCAAATCTTTGGTATGTTTATTTTTAAAAATTTCTGAAATTTAAAAAATTAATTTTTTATCTCTTATCGTAATCCTTATCATTTAAATTCTTAAAAAAATTTTTTGGAATATTTCTTGGGTCCTTTCTACACCCCCCCCCCCTCCCCAAAAAACACTTTCCTCCTCAACTACCAGCAACAGCCGAGCCAGCTTGTTTTTAATAAAAACAACAAAATTTCTTTGTTAAATTAAAGAAAGGGTATATATTTAATACAGGTTAAAAAATATTTTATTATTTTATTTTCTAAAAATATTTTTGGTTCGTTGGCAGTTTGGCTTTACATAAATATATATTAAAATTTATTTCTACTACACCTTCTCTCCATCCCCACAAAAAAAGTTTATTTTGCAACTCTTCCCCTCCCTTTAAAATTAAAAAAAAATAAAAATTCCTCTTTCCTTCCAATAAATAAATTTCCCTCAAAAAATTCCCCAAAAAATTTTCTCCCCCTCAAAAAATGTCTCTAACTAAACGAAACGAAAATCACCGTTTAATTTCTAAACAGGAGGAAGGCACTACCAGAACTACATCCATCACAACAACAACCTCCTCCACATCCCTCCCTCCCCTAAAAACAACTTCTTCAGCCAACCCCTCAATTTTCACAACAAAAATTAAAATTTTAATTTTATTGGCCCTCGCCTTTTTTTCGTTAATTTTGGCAACAATAATTTTATTTTTGTCTTCTTCACACTCCGAAAATCAAAAAGAATTTCCTTTTTATTTAAATAAAACATCAGAAGAATTTAAAGATTTATTATCAATTAATAAATTAATTGACCGAAGCAATTATGACCCCAGTGAAAAATCAAAGCTTCCTATTGCTAGTCATCCTATTATGTTTAATGAAGTAAATTTTCCAATTAATTTAATTTTTTTAAATTAAAAAAAATTTTTTAAATTTAATTCTGAAACCATTAAAAAATTTTTATAAAAAAAAAATTTTTTTTGTCCGCAAAAAAATTGCGGATTAAAATTTATTTTTGAATTAAATATTATTTAATAATTTAATTTTATCAATTATTTTTTATTTAAAATAATTTAAAAAAAATTTTCAGACGGGTTGGTCAAGCTATAGGCCACAACTATATTTTGGGTTGGTTTATTTTTATTTTTTAAATTCTTAAAAAATACAAAATTAAAATATTTGTTAATTTTTAATTAATTAAGAAAGAATTTTTTAGTTTAAAAAATCGACGTCCAGATTCCCCATTATTTGGAATTATGTGGTATCGTCAAAAATTAGCTGCAAAACCTGAAGATATTGTTTTGAGGAATTGGGCAAAACACGGTAATTATAAATTGAAAATACACACAAAATCAGAATTTAGAAGAAGAAATAAACCAGAAATAAAATCAGAATTTAAAATGAACATTAAACCAGAATTTAATAAAAACATAGGAAACACAAAATCAGAACTAAAAATAAACACGATCAGAATTACAAAGAAAATACAAATCAGAATATCAAATGAACATAAAATAAAACCAGAATTTAAATAAAACACAAAACCAGAATTTTTAAAAACATAAGAAATACAAAATCAGAGCTATAAATAAACAATCAGAATTATAAAGAAAATAAAAACCAGAATTTCAAATGAACATAAAATTATAGGAATATAAAACCAGAATTTAAATAAAACACAAAATCAGAATTTTAAATGAACATAATAAAACACATTTATTACAGAGGATGATGTTGTATTTATGTGGAACCAACATGACGGTCGTTCTTTTGGATCCCAAAAATTAATAGATGGAGAATACAATATCCGAACTGACTTTTTAAATTTTAAATCCTCTTCCTGGATGGCCAGATTTTATTTAACAAATAATTCAACAACAAAAGAATGGCCCCAACAACTGGCATTTATTCTCTATTTTGCCGTTCAGGACCCAATTTCAACACTTCAAATGACTTCAATACACCCTACAAAAAGTGGAGAAATTAATTTGCTTAAAGGAAAGTGTGATGCAGTCAATGGAGAATTTTATTTAAAAGTTAAACCAATTTCTGGGGGCGGATCGAAAATATCTGCTACAGCAATTAAATCAGAACCTTTCCCCGATATGGCTAAAACTAGTGAAATGGTTAAAGAAAAGTTGCATAAACAATTGGATGGAAATTTTGCGTTTGATATTGTTCAGAATTTGGATGAGAATAATCCGAATATTATTGCATTACAGATTAGTGCTAAAGGTAGTATATTAGATAAAAATAAAATACAAAATCAGAACTAGGAAAAAATACAAACCAGAATTAATGAGAAATACAAAAATCAGAATTAAGGAAGAATACAAAATCAGAATTTTTTGTTTACTCTTTAATATTCTGATTTGTATTTTATACAAATAAATTACTAAAATCAGGCTTAATTCTGGTACAAAAATACAGAGCAGAATTTAAAATAAAAATACATCTAAAATACAAACCAGAATAAAAAATACAAATAAAATACAAAAGCATAATTTTGCTGTTTAAGCTGAATATTATGTATACTATACTTTGCGCTGAACTGTCCAAGATAATAAATTTAAAATGGACGTTTCAGCGCAGATTACAGTATACCTTTTAAACAATTAATTATTTTTAATATTTATTTCAGAAGATACAGCTTTTGAAGTCCTTTTCCATTCCGTAAATGATGGAACACCACCAAGCTTTACTGACGTATTTAGAGAGAAGGAAGAGGCTTTCCGTTCAAACTTTAGCCGCGCCTTTCCAATTGCTGTAAGAAATATTTTCTTTAAATCAGAATTTAAATAAAAAATTTCAGAAGAATTACTCAGCAATTTATCACAAAATGGGGCACGCAGCCCTTTCCAATTTACTTGGAGGGATTGGTGTTTGGCACGGAAGTTGTAAAATGCGTTCACATTTATTCTCACCTCCCGACTCTGTCAAGCCTTACGGACCTCTATCTTTAATGTCTGCTGTGCCCTCACGTACAGGATTTCCTAGAGGGTTTATTTGGGATGAGGTGAATTTTTTGTTTACTTTAATAGGGACAAGGGATTTTCAAAAAATTATATCTCCCCCTAGAAATAATATTTTTGCGAGAGGTTTTTTGATTCTATTTGCTAAAATCGAGGAGAACAGGAATACTTAAATGGATTTTCTCTAAGAAATTTATTTACCTTTTATTATCCGACTTAATCCCCTTTATCTCTCACAGCCTTTAATTATTTGGAAAAAATTCTGAAACGATTCCTTATATGGATTTGGCCTTCAAAAAATTCCCTACTTAAATTATAACCTTTTCAGGGTTTCCACAATATGTTAATTCACAAATTCGACCCACTCCTCACTGTCCAAATTATTGGTTCTTATTTGGATATGATGAATATTGATGGTTGGATGCCTAGAGAAATAGCTATTGGCTCTGAAGCTGAAGCACGCATTCCAGGCACTTTTCTAGTTCAAGAAGATTGGGTTGCTAACCCTCCAATGTTTTTCTATTTAATGAGGGACTTTATTTCTGATAAAGAGGTAAATTTTGGGTTGTAGGGTAGGGATAGTACACCGTTTCCGGAAGTCGGAAAATTTGGAAATAAAAAGGCCTAGGCCTGCTAAGACCTTTTTCAAGGTCCTAGCTCATCGGAGAATATCTCTAGTTATTAATTAGATTGTCGGCGATACCTTGTGGAGAACTGGGATGACGGGAGATAGCATCTAATGTCAGGAATTGTGGTCGAGGACCAACACTTGTTTTTTAAAAGTTATTTTATAACAATTATTTTTAGTTATTCCGTCGTTATGGCCCTGAATTGAAAAGAATGTACCCAAGAATGAAACAACTTTATTTGTGGCTCAGGAATAGTCAAGGTGGGCCAAAACCAGGCACTTTTCGTTGGCATGATAGAAATGCAACTACAAATATGGAATTAAACCCGTAAATTTTTTGTTGAATTTTATGGGTACTGGATGGGTTTTGGCTTTAATATTTTATTGGAACCTGGGGATTTTTCTGGACATATATCTCGGGATATAAATAAAAAATCAAGGAATATCCAGAGATTTATTAAGGCCTTCGGACGGGCTTTCTTCCTCCTCACATTTCTAAATATGGTAGAGACTCCCCTAACTATACCTTACTAACACTTTAGAGCCCTAACTGGGACGGGTCTTGCAGGAATCAAAATTGGTATCTTGAAGAATCTCAATTCTCGTTAGCCTAGATTTATGTTCAGGCTCTCTTCTTGGTCCATTCTATATTAGGATATCTTAAAAATTAAATTGTGATAACAAAATAATTTTTAGATGTTCCCTAGCCAGCGGTTTTGACGACTTCCCCAGGGCCACACACCCAACAGAAAAAGAATACCATGTAGATTTACGTTGTTGGATGGCTATGAGTTCTTCCGTTTTGGTTGATTTAGCTAGACAATTTGGGGATGAAGAATTCTTACCGGCAATTGAAAGAGAATCTGAAACACTTAATGATGTTGAGAGTTTGGATAAATTGCATTGGTCTGAAGATAAACAACAATATTGTGATTATGGATTACACAGGTATATATTAGATTAAACTAATATTAATTCTGATTTTTTAATTCTGATTTTATTTTTAAATAATTCTGATTATGCAATAATTCCGTTACAGTCTCGAGGCTATATTTTGTGCCATAACTTTTTTGATTCTTAACCATTTTAAATAATTATTATATCAATCAAAAGCTCTGAATGTTAATAATCTTTTACTTTACAAGATTGATTTGTTCAGATTATTTTACAAAAAGTTACAGCCGGATAAATGCGCGCAATCGTGATTTTTGAACTTTATTCGGCTATAACTTTTTGTAAAATGATCAGATCAAAATAACCCTATTGGATAAAATAATCCACACATCCAGAGCTTTTGAATGCTATAATAATTATTTAAATCGGTTAAGAATCAAAAAAGTTATGTCCAGAAATATGGCCCCTAGACTGAAATTTCGATTCTGAGACGATCTTTACCGAATAATTCTGATTATTTTAATAATTCTGATTTAACTCTAATTTTTATTTTTAAATAATTCTGATAGTTAAAACAAATCAGAATTTATATTTCTGATATTTTATTTATTTTATTTCAGTGACTCTGTTAAATTAGTACCAGAAACAACGCCAGAAGGAGACACCATTTTAGTACGTAAAGTACTTAAAGAACCTCAGTATAAATTTGTTGAAAATGTAAATGGATATAGTAATTTATTTCCTCTATTTATGCGTATTTTGCCTGCAAATTCACCACATATTGGGCCTTTACTTAAACAAATGAGAGACCCTGAACAATTTTGGACAGATTTTGGATTACGTTCAATATCAACACTTTCACCTTATTACTTTACTTGGAATTCTAAATCAGGGTCGCCTTATTGGAGAGGGCCTGTTTGGATTAATATGTAAGTTTTTTAAAAATATTTTTTGGGATTTTTAAATTAACCTAACACTAAAATTATAGGGAGTATTCTGATTTAATTAATTATTAATTCTGATTTAATAAATTCTGATTAATTAAAGAAATGTATAACTCTGAATTTTTAATTAAAATAATTCTGATTTAATAATTCTGATTTAATAATTCTGATTTAATAATTCTGGTATTTTTAATAAACCAGAATTCCGGAACAATATTATAATATATACTTTTCAGGAAATATTAAATAAAATATAACTATGCGGAAAATATAAATCAGAACAAATAATTTTTAGTTCCGGAAACTATAAATAAAATAAACTTTCCGGAAACTTAAGTTTTTTTAAATCAGAATTAATAATTCTGGTTTTATATTAAATAACTCTGAATTTATAATATCATAAATCAGAATTAATAATTCTGATATTTGTATTTTCCCCTATAATTCTGATTATTATCTACCCAAACTAATAATAATTAGCTAATAATAATTAATTAATAATAATTAATTTACTAAATTTTTGAATTTTCTAGAAAATTATTTTTCTTTTTTTATTTAAAAATTATTTAATTTTTTTCTATCCTTTCCCCACACATTTAAATTAATTAATTAATCAATCTTTTATTTTTTAAAGGAATTATTTTGCGATCGCAGCTCTAAAACATTATTCGCTGATTGACGGCCCTTTTAAGGAGGAAGCTGGTCGTTTACATTTTGAATTGCGTGACAATTTGTTGAAGAATGTAGCGATGCAGTACGAAAAAACTGGATTTTTGTGGGAGACATATAACGATAAAAATGGGCAAGGAGAAGGCAACCATCCTTTTACGGGCTGGACAACTTTAATATTAAAGATTTTATCTAATACTTATTAAATGAAGAAAAAATTAAAATAAATGTACTTAAAAATAGGTAAATGATTGAGGAGGATGATGAAATTTAAAAAAAAATTTTTTTTAATTTTTAATTATTTTTAAACTGTAAAAAAGGTGCGCAAATACCTGCAGAGGAAATTCTCTCTCATTTTAGTGGTACAAATTTGTTCTGATTTAATTAAATATTCTGATTTAATTAAATATTCTGATTTATTTATTAAAATCAGAACAATTGATTATTAATTTATTTATTCTGATTTATTTATAAAATCAGAATTATTAAATCAGAACTTTTTTATAACTCAGATTAATTTATTAAACATGAATTAAATTAAATCAGAATCAAATCAGAATTTTTTCTGATTTATAAATTTATTCTGATTTTTATTAGAAAAATGAGAAAGAATCTTCCCCCAAAATAGGAGTGCAATAAATTAAATAAACGAACTTTACTAATTTAATTAAAAATCTTATCAATCAATACTTTTAATTTAAAATTTAAAAAGCCCAAAAATTAAATTTAAAAAAATATTTTTTAATTAAAAGTGTTGATTTAATAAGGATATTATAAATACTTATTATTTTTCCCTTTCTTCTTGTTCCGGTCACACTTTTAATTTTTTTATTTTAAACTTCAACCCTCTAAGTTTTAATTAATTCTGATTTTATTATTGTCTAGGAATGTGTTTGTTAAATTAAAAACTTTAAACTTGTACTTAAAAATATTTACAACTTTAATTTTGTTAATAATGTTAAAATGTATTTTGTGTTTTTTTCATCGAAAATAAAACTTTTTCTAGTTTTATACTTTGTATTTTATAAAATTAAAATAAGAGTTACTGTGTTTTTATTAATTCTGATTTATAAACTTAAGTTTCCGGAAGGTTATATTTATGTATATTTATAAATTCCGGAAATTATTAATTCTGATTTATAGTTTCCGGAAATAATTCTGAGTTATACTCTTTCCGGAAAGTTAGTTTAATTTATAGTTTCCGGAAAATAATTTAATATTTACATGTTTCCGGAAAATAATTTCTGATTTAGTTAATTCTGATTAATTTTATTTATTTTCTGATTTCAATAATTCTGATTTATAAAATAACCATTAAACAAGTAAAATATTTATTCAATACCATAAAATTGGCTGTCATTAAAATTTAAAAATATTTTTTGAGCACAACAAATCGTAATATCGAGGTGTGGCTTGTCGAGTAAAATTAAGTGAAAGAAAAAAACGAAAGATTACATCAACAAAATTAATATCAAAATTAAAATTAATTTGTAGAAAATAAAGAAAAATACATTTTAAATAAACTAAAATGTAAAGCAGGAAAATACAAAGTATAATATAGTAGTTGACTTTTTCGCTTATTTTTTGATGGATAGTAAGATGGATAGAAAATATTTTTTTTCCAAAAAAGAAAAAAAGTAAAAAAAAAATAAAATTCTCTTAATTTTACAAAATTAATAATTATTATGCCCCTCAATTAATTTGTGAGGGGTAAGTGTGAGTAATAAAAAAATTTATGAAAATCTAAAAGAAAGCAATACGGTAATTTTTATTCTGTCTGAGTCAGCATCTTCTCAAAAATCTGAAAATTGTTAGAGTTATTAATTAATGTTCTGATTTTGTATTTTTAACGTATAACTCTGAATTTAATAATTCTGATTTTGTATTTCTTTTTATTCTTTCCGGAAAGGAAAGAAAATACAAAAATTCTGATTTTGTATTTTTAAATATAATTCTGTGTTTTTGATTAATTCTGATTTATAAAAACACAAAAATTCTGATTTTTGCATTATAGTATAACTCTGAGTTATTAATTTTAATTCTGAAAATAATTCCGAGTATAACTCTGAATTTTTAATTAATTCTGATTATTTTAAAAATAATTCTGATTTTTATTTTATTTTTTACCTTTAAATAATTCCCTGCCATTATTTCTGAAGTAAATCGCTTCTCAAAAGTTTCACGTACCAATGCCCTATCCATTTTGTGTACTCGTTTAACGGCTTCTACACCTTCATCGATTGTATCAAAAATTATTCCTGTTACTCCCTCCTCCACAACCTTTAAATATTTATATTTTTTAAGTATTTTTTCAAATTTTTTTAAAAATAAAAACCTCTGGGACAGACCCACAAGGACGGGCAACTATCTAAAAAATTTTTTCAAAAAATTTCAAAGTTTTTCAAAAAACCCACAGGTGTTCCACAGGCCATAGACTCAGCCAAAACAAGTCCAAAAGGTTCATTCCAATCAATCGGGAACAATAACGCTCTCGCATTCCCCAAAAATTCTCCCTTTTGACTATCAGTAATTTCCCCAATATACTCCACCAATTCAGGATTTTGATCAACCAACGGCTTAACTTCATTCTCCCAAAATTCAAAGTCTACTTTATCAATTTTTGCAGCTATTTTCAACGGAATCCCAGCCTTCACCGCTATTTTAATTGCAATATCAGGTCTTTTCTCCTCTGCAATGCGTCCCAGAAAGGCCAAATAAGGCTCTTCTCCTTTCGGTTTCTTGGTGAAATTGAACATATCTTTTGGTATTCCGTGGTAAACAGTTCCAACAAAATTTGGATTTTTGTGTTTTAAATGTGTTCGTTGGTTGTCGGAGATTGAAATTAATTTGGAGTGGGGGAAGCATGAAAATAGGGGGACCAAGTCGGGAATACACAGCTTTCCGTGTAGTGTAGTTACTGAACGTTCACTAATGTCTTTTAACATGCCGAAATGTTCGTATGTGTGGAAGTGCTGAAGAAAAATTTTTATTTTTTAAGTTAAATTGAAGGGGGTTAATAGGGATATCAGAAGCGAAGTCTCAGTCTCGAGGCCATATTTTGGCTTATAACTTTTTTAATTCTTAACCTATTTAAATAAGTATTATATCAATCGAAAGCTCTGGATTTGAGGATTATTTTAGCTAACAGGATTGATTTGATCAGACAATCCTACAAAGAGTAATGGCCGGATAAATGCGCGCAATCATGATTTTCTCTCTTTATTTGGCAATAACTTTTTGTAGGATGATCCGATCACATCAATCCTGTTAGCTAAAATAATCCTCACATTCAGAGCTTCCGAATGATATAATAATTATTCAAATCGGTTAAGAATCAAAAAAGTTATGGCCCAAAATAAAGCCTCGAGACACGGCGATCCGCAAACTTTTTGCGGACATCCGCAAGATTTTTTTAAAATAAATTTCTTTAAAACCCACCAAAATATCAAAATCATTCTGTCGTTTTCTTACATCTTCCAACATACACAAAAATGGAATTATAGGTATGCAAACGGGATTTAGACGTAAAGCTGGCCTTAAATTATTATTAAAATATTTCTTGCCTTTAGGGGAAAGGTAGAAGAAGAGTTAAGCGGAACGTCTATACAATACTTCCAAATTTAAGATAAACTCCCATTAAAAGGTACGAGTTTCTATGTCCTAAGGTGTCGTTTATCTCCTAAGACCTCGGAAAATTTGTTTTAAATACCCCTCGGTATTAAATAGGATAACCAAGGGGTGTCAGGGGAGGGAGGAGAGGAGAGGGGGGAGAAGAGGGAGGGAGGTTACTAACCCCCTAGGGTTTTTAAATTTTCTAATTTTTTACCAAAAATCATTAGCAACCATTTCAGCACTAGTTTTACTGTCAGAGGAACAAAAAAGAGTAACTTGATGTCCTCTACGTACCAATTCTTCTGTTAAATAATGGACTACACGTTCAGTACCTCCATACAATTTTGGAGGAACACTTTCAAATAGAGGAGCTATTTGGGCTATTCGAAGACGTTGATTGGGCCGTAATGGACGAGGAATGTGGGCGATAGTTCCATTGACTGCATCTTAAAAATTAAAATTTTTTAAAATAAAAAAAATTTTTTTGTCCGCAAAAATTTTTGCGGACACATGCGGACAAATATTTGCGGACAAAACTGAAAATTATTGGAATTGGAACAAAAAGATTTATGAGTCACCTTATAATGAAATAATAGCATTATTGCTTCTCAAAAATATTTTTTCCAATTTAAAAGGTGCTTGTCCGCAAATATATTTTTCTGTCCGCAAATATCGCCAAAACCCAAAAATATTCCAAATTACCTAAATTTTTATTTTTTAAATTTTTGTCAGAATTTTTAGACATTGGAAATTATTTGTTGAAGAAAATTTGCTTTAAAAAATTTTTTTAGGTGCTACATAAAAATATGTAGAATGAATTATTTGACGGATAACTTATCTTATTTACCCCCAATTTTTTATCTTATATTTTGATCTACATAATATATATTTATTTTTATATTTTTTAAATAATGCAACAAAAATGTTTGTTTTTTAGCTATTCAATTTTAAAAATATTTTTACGTAATTATTTTTATTATGGTGTGAAGGGAACTTTGTGCGGTACTGTGAAGGGAACATTAGTATATTTGCGGAGAGAATTTGCGGAAAACCACATATGTTTTTTGAAATTGCTCGTCAAAATTTATAAGACGATTTTTCTGTCCGCAAAAATTTTTGCGGACTTATTCCCGTTTTCCTATGTTTTCTTGTTCCAATTTTAACTAATTCTAGTGTCCGCAAATATTTGTCCGCAAATGTCCGCAGTATTTTTAAAAAAATTATTGATGGTACTGTGAAGGGAACATAATAAGATAGTTAAAAAAAACATAGCTTTCTCCTACAAAATCAAATATTACCTTTAGCATGCCCATTAGTTAACCCATTCAGAGCTGGCATTTCACAGCCATTTCCAACATTTTTTAAATCTTTCTTGTTTACTCCATTAATATATCCATTTTGGTGGTAACCATTTTTAGTTGGTTGTTGATCGTCACATTTATTTGATATAACTCCATTTTCGGTTACAATTCCGTTTATATGTGAGGGTAATGCTTCCATTATTTTTTGTATTTTTTAAAGTTTATTTTTTAAGTGTAAAATGACTGTAGAAATTAACAGCTAAAAATATAAAAATATTTTTATTTGAGTAATATGGGCGATAATTATAGTGTGAAACAGGCTGTGCCGTTTCGTCTTTCGACTTTTCTGGTGTTCTCTTAGACTTTAGTCTTCTGCTTTGTTAAAATCTGTTTCGGCAAACCCCTAGTGTGAAGAGAACATTGTTAGATAGTGTGAAGGGAACGTAGGTAGGTAGTGTGAAGAGGACATTGGGTATGTAGTTTGAATGGGACGTTGTTTGGTTGTGCAAATGGGATATTTTACTGGGTAACGTGAAGGGGACATTAGTAGGTAATGCGAAGGGGACATTGGTAAGGTAATGTAAAAGGGACATTGTAAGGTAGTGTGAAGGGGACATTGTTGGGTAATGCGAAGGGGACATTGAAAGGAACATGATATTGAAAAGAAATAAGGGGACTCGATATAAGAGATAGCAAAAATAAAAAGGCTTCAAATTTACTTTACTCTCTCCCTCCAAAAATTTTTTTTCGATCACAAAAATAAGAGTAAAAATATTAAATTAAATGAATGCGCAGTCCAACAAATAAATCTCCCTCCTAAATAAATAAATTTTTTTATTTTTTCTGACAGCCAATACCTTTTTGTATTTATTCTCCCCTTAATTGTGTGCACATTCCTTCTCTCCCGTCGGAATCCAGCCCCTCCCCTCTCCCGTTTTTTTATTAAACATTTTTTCTTCTTCATCCTACGCTATATTCGCCTTATTTTAAACACCTCCCCTTCTCCCCTAATCTTTGCGCGTTCACGTGTACCCCTCCAAAAACGCCGAAAAAAATGTTCTCTGATTATTAATAGCTTATCTATTATCTTGATCAGCTTTTAGAAAAAACAAAGGAAGAAAAAGAGAACATTGGGGTGGGGGTAGTGTGAAGGGAACATTAACTGGGTAGTGTGAAAGGCATACAACGCCCATGTTCTCTTTTTTAGACAATAAAAATTAAAGAACACCGAAAAGGGGGTTGAACACTAGTTGATCTTAATCACCCCTTTAGGCTTGAAAACAAAGAGATATTAATTGTAAAGCGAAGGGAACATAGGTGGGTAGGGTGAAGGGAACATTGTGTTCTCCATGTGAAAGGCACACCCACCTCTCCGTTCCTTTTTTAGACGAAAATAAACAAAAGAAAGATGAACACAAGTTGATATCTTGATCTCCATTTAAAGCTTCAAAACAAATGATGAGGGGAAGGGAAGGGTAGTGTGAAGGGAACATGGGTGGGTAGAGTGAAGGGAACATGGGTGGGTAGTGTGAAGGGAACATGGAGGTTCTCCGTGTGAAAAGCACACCTTCCTCCTTTCAACAAAAATTTAAAAAATAAACAAAAGAGAGGATGGCACTTGGTTTCTAGCCCTCCAAAATAATCCAAAAAACAATTTTAAAAAATCGGACCCCCCACAAATATATTTTTGATCAAAAATTCACATGAAAATATCCCTTACAAAAGGCTAAAAATATAATGTTTTGTTGTAATTAACCCTCTTTTAATATATTTTAGTAATGGTGGGATGAACATTTCTTTTTATTTAATTTACTAAAAAAATTTATTTTTTGGTGAACATTGATATATAGAAATTTGGTGAATAAAATTTTTTGAAAAGAAAAAAAGGAGAGTAAGATGTCAAGTGTTTAAGAGGTGCGCAAAATTTAAATTCCCGATTTAACGCCAAAAATTGGCAAAGTGTAACAAGAGCAAGGGTAGTGTGAAGGGAAGAAGGCATAAGTAGTGTGAGAGGAACAAGAGTAGTGTGAAGGGAACAGGGGGAAATTTAAAAGGGGGTAAGTGGCATTGGTAGTGTGAAGGGAACATAGGTAAAGCGAAGGGAACATAAGCAGGGTATGGTAAGAGCTCAAAGATAAAGTAAAAAGACCAGGGGTAGTGTGAAGGGAACAAGAGTAATGTGAAGGGAACAAGGGTAGAGTGAAGAGCGCAAAGGTAGTGTGAAGGGAACAAGTGTAATGCGAAGGGAACATATTATAGTAGTGTGAAGGGAACACATATATGGGGCCATTGAAAGTCTAAATTCTATGGCGCACAACAAAATAAAATGTGCGCAGACAAAAAACAACAAAATATGGGGGGCTATAAATTTCAGCAAAACTTTTTTAAAATTTCTTAATTGGGCGAAGAGGAGGAGAAAAATTTTATTCGTTAAAAAAATACATTATTCATTGATATAATTGAAGAAAAAAAATATTACAATGTGTGAAATTTAATTTAAAAAAAAATTTTAAAAAATAGAGGAGGAAAACGTTAAAAATAAACGAAAAATATTCTTGCGTTACAGAAAAATAGAGAGAAAAATAAAATTTTAAAAAAATAAAAATATTGTAGCAGTAAATAGTAGTAGTAGAACACCTTTAATTTAATTTTTTATAAAAAAAAATGTCCAAAAAATGTTTTGGATTAAATTAAAGATTCTAGCTTGACTCTCTCATTATAAGCCACCCCTCTGTATTTTTAAATATGGAATGTGTTTATTGTTTAGGTATATGTATGGGAGGGGGTTCAGTGTTCCTTCCCCTCTATTGGTCAACAAAAAGAAAAATTTTTAGGTTTGAAAAATCATTAAGCTTAAGAAATTGAATAATTTCAGAAGGTTATCTTAGAAACGAGAGAGATTTTTCAAAAAAAAATTTTTAAAAATTTTTTTTTCCCCAATCCCTTTATTATTTCTCACAAAAATTTCAAGTAAAATTACTAACCCTCCCTCTTTTCTTAATTTTCTTTCAATTTTTTAATTAAAAAAATAATATTAGTACTACATATAAAAGTAAAAGATGAATATACGGGAAGGAGGAAACACACAAGATTTTTTTGTGGTCCTTGCAAAATATAAAAAAATTGAAAAATATTATATAATTATTCAAAACTTAAAATTTCCTTTCCTTTACCTTCCCCCATTCTCTCATTCCCTTCTTAAAAAAAATTTTTAAGAAAAGATTAAATTAGTGGAACGTTTTACCTTTTATGAAGATGAATCGTCTCCTTCATCCTTGTCATCGTCCCGCTTTGGACATTTTCTTGATGATGGAACGCTTTAAATTTAGAAAAATTTTAAGAATTTACAAACTACACAAATTTAAAATTAAAGAAAAAAATTTTTTTGAAGGAGGACAGGGTCATGGTCACAGAAATAGTTTCAAGACGTTAACCGAATAGTAACAGCAAATGTCTGGTAACGACAACTTAAAAATTTTTTTTGTTTTCCGCAATCTTCCAAAATTATTTGCGGACTTTTAAAAGAGCATTCGGAAAATCAAAAAAATTCCCCTCCAAAATTATTTAAAAAATTAAAAAAAATTTTTTCTTACTATGGCTCGTCTCGTCTCGGACAATTCCACTTTTTTCCAGGTGGCGGTGGAGGAATCCATGGACGCGGCACATATTTAGATCCAGTATAGATGTATTGGCCACCATTGGAATCGCTGAAAAAACGGAAAAAATTAAAAAAATTTACAAAAAAAAATTGCGGACAATTTTTGCGGACACTTTAAATATCAATCTTTTTATCAGTTTTCGCCCTCCTCCCTTATCATTTAATTTACATAACTTTTAATATTATTCCAAAAAAATTTTTAGGTGACTAAAAACGTAATTTAGCTCAAAAAAAGAAGAAATTTTAAAGAAATCCGCAAAATTATTTTTTGTCCGCAAAAATATTAACACTTCTTTTTTCCTTATTTTTTAGCATTTTATCTCTCACTCTTATTGTTAATCTTTACAATTTTTCATTTTAAATTGGAAAAAAATTTCTTTACTAATTTAAAAAATCCGCAAAATTTGTCCGCAAAAAATTTTTTTTGTCCGCAAAATTTTTTTTGCGGACAAAAAATTTTCTTCTCATTTTTTAAAGGTTTAAAAAAATAAATAATATACCCTCCTCGTCGTTCACGATATGAAGAAGAACTTCCACCACTTCCTCTATAATTTCCTCCATTATTGTAATAACTTCTTCCCCCTCCACCTCTATAATTTCCACCCCATCCTCTTTCATATTTTGGAGGTGGATAAGGATTTCTTCTTGAAGGATACAAAGTTTGGGGGCCCAAATTATTTTTAATATATGTTGAAGAACGTCGATAATAATTTGAAGGATTATAACGATTTAAAGGTTGTGGTGAACGTGAAGAACGTCGAGTACTTCCACTACTGCTGTAATGATGGTGGGAAGTTGGTGATGATCTGTTTATATTTTTTGAAAAAAAAAAAAGAATTTTTTTAATTTTTTAAGTAGTTGGGGGGTATATTAATTGTTGTTTTTTTTGTGTTTGTGTGTGTGTATGTGCATTTTTTAAAATTATTAATTTAATTAATTTTTTGGTGTTACAAATTAATTTAATTTTTAATTAGGGTTGAAAGATGAAAGGTTGTTTATTTTTTGTTGTTTTTTAATTTTTCAAAAAAATTTTTTCCAAGTTATTTTTTTCCCAATTTGTCGTTAATTTTTGTTTAGTTCAGTTTTTTGTTCATCGCGCCACAATTTATTTTATTTTTTTCATTCCAGGGAATTGAGTGTAGTATATATTTTTTAAAATAGAGTAGAAATTTTTATTTCCCCTTAGAATTCCCCTTTAAACATTTTATGTAGTTATTATTATTTTCTGTAAGTTTTGTAAGTTTGTTGTTTTAAAATGATGCGCTCTAGAGAAACGCGAGATTTTATAAAATCTTAAAATTTTTTATAAAATTTTAGAAGCGGTTATCTTTTAGTGCAAATAAATTAATTTTTTGGACATTTTAAGCCCAAATAATTTTTTAAAATTAAAAAAATTATTAAAAATACCGTCCAGAAGCCCGTACAGTAAAAACTTCTTCAACAATTCCTCTAGCAACACGTCTTGGAGGAGCACCAGAACGATGATGATAAGTTGGTGTTGGTGAACGGGAAGAACGTCTTCCTCCACTTCCAGGAGAGCGTCTTCCACCACCACCAGAAGAAGAGCTTCTATCAAAAGGTGCCGGGGAAGAGCGTCGTTGAACTAGAGGTAAACGTCCACCAGGCAACGGCTCAATTTTTTGGGCAAGTGGAGGCGGGTTTGGAGTTTTCTTTGTTTTGTTGTCACGTGAATCATCAGTTGGATAATATGAAGGATTTTTGAAGTAAGGTTGCGGGGGAAATCCAGGTTTACCTCCCATACGTGGAACATAAGTATAACCAAGATGGCGAGAACGAGCATCTCTGAAAAGAGGAAAAAATTTTTTAGAATAATTTTTGGAAAATAAAATAGAATTTTTGTTCCTCACCTAGATTCTCGATAACTGTAGGACCCAAGAAAATCAAAAAAAAATTTTATTGACCCATCAAGAATGTCAAGTAAATCATCAGTAATGTCACGGGTTATAAGAACTCCAATACCCAAAAACCGAGAAATTTTTCGATCCGAAACCATACCTTTTCAAAAACCAGATTCAAAACTCTATCCGACATTTTATTCTCTATCCGTGCCATTCCTGAAGAACTCAGACCCGTAAGAATTTTTTAGAACCAGAAAAACTATACCCAACCCCCAATCAGAAAAACTAAAAGAAAAATAAAAACCTTAAACGAACAAGTCGAGCTTTTCTATTCTGACGTAAACGCTCTTCTACAGACACATAATCATCATCCTTAAATTTTAAAAAAATTTTTACAAAAAAAAATTATTCAAAAAAAACCCTATCACGTCTGCGTGTTTGTCGATACTTTTGTGGAGGAGATCTATCCACATCAGAACTATTGCTGCTACGGCGAGAACGAGAACTTCGTGAACGTGAAGATCTTGAACGTGAACGTGAAGAAGTACTTGAAGACCTCCTTCGTCTCTTTCGATCGCGAGAATCGTTTAAATCAGACAAACTGTCATCACGACCGTCACTCTGAAATAGAGAAGAAAAAATTACGATGAAGAGATTTGTTAAAAATTAGTTGCAGGAAATGTAAAGATTGGAGGAAATACAATTACGGACACATTTTTGAAGATTATATTGATAATGAGAAGACACGTTAATGGATACTTCCCCCACAGTCCCTATGTTTGCGTTTTAAACATGTGTTAAATGTGGGTTCAGGGATTATCTAAAAGCCTGACTTTCGTCTTATTGTTAGACCCGACCCGAAGAGAATTTTAAAACTTGGTTTGAAACTCGAACATTTCTCGGCCCTCTTCATCCCTAATGGAAATTGAAGAGTAAAAGAAAAGGGATGAGTCATCAAGTTCAACCCCCAAAAATAAACAATAAAACCTTGGTATCATCCATTTTATCATCCTCTTCCTCCTCATTTCCCGGCGGAGTTTTAGGTCCCATTTGCTTATTATTCTTCAGCTTCTTTTCATTCTCGCTCGAATCCTCTTCCGCATCAGCTTGCAAAACCTCCTCCCTAGCATCAGGAGAGTGTGGCGCCGACATTGAACGCGGACTTGGAATTCTGTCAGATTCTTCCAATTCGTCACCAGCTTCCTTCAAAAAAACATTTAAAAAATTCTTTAAAAATTAAACAAAAAACCTCAACAAAGTCCAAAACTAAATCCTCTCCTTCATCAATATCACCTCCCCCATTTTTTGGCGAGTTTGGTTCTCTTTTAACTTTATACGGCATATTTGCTTTGAAAAAATTAATTAGTTTTTAAGTTTGGAAAATAAAGGAAAAAAATATTTGAATGAATCAAACACACAAAAATTAATTTTTGAATGTATTTACAAATAAAATTTATTTAGATAATGATCAGATAAATATTTAAAAAAAAAACAGAAAAATAACAAATTTAATCTATTAAAAGGGAAAAAAAAGAGAAGGAAAAAAAGAGGATTTAACCAAACAAAAAATGAATAATTTAGGTACTTATATATAGAAATTAAATATTTTTTAAATAAATTAAACAGAAAAAATCCCTGACATTAAATATTTGGTATACCATGTAAAATTTAAATAATATTCCCACAGAAAATCATTCAAAATTGATAACTATCTGGCTTCGAATTGGTTGGAATTGGCTTTAAAAAATTTAATTAGTTTTAAAAGCTCCCATCAACTATTAGGGGGAAGAAGGCATCGATCCTTCTACACAATTCCATTCCATAGGAAAGGTCATTTCTAGAATGAGAAAGTGCCCTTTTCCACTTATTTAAAGTTACTATTTATTGATTATGGCATTTGAGGAAGGCAAAATACAACAAAATTGGGGAAAGGGAAATAGAGACTGGAGTGGACACTTTCCCCGGCCCATGAATGGGAAAGTCAACCCAGTTCATCTAAACTCCCCTTTGCCGATTTTCCCAAATGTTTCGGCAAATACGAAAGAACTCTGCCAGAGTGGACACTTTCTCTGCCCCAAAGACAAAAAAAAACGAAAAAGGCTGACCATTCTGAACAAAAATAGGGGAAAAATTTGGGAAAGAAAAAACTGGGCCTGTAAAGTTAAATATTACCCAAAAACCCCTTAAAAACAAAAAAACCTGTAATTAACTTTTGTAGCATCAAATAAGCGTTTGGAAGCCCTAGTTTCAATACAATCCTTATCCTTCAAATAAATAACAGTTTTGATTCCAGATTGGATAATTAACTTTGCACATTCATTACAAGGAAAACGGGTTATATCTAAAAAAATTTAAGTTTAAAAAAATTAAAAAATAAATTTTCAAACATATTGTAGCATCCTTAAATTGAGCAGAATTTCCATTAGCAATAGCATTCATTTCAGCATGGCAAACATACAAATACCTTTAAAAATAAAAAATTTTTTAAGAAATTATTGTTAGAACCTAAAGCAAGATTAAAAGAAGACTTACATAAGTCTCCCTGTTTAGAAGCCCTCTTGATACCCGTTTAGAAGTCAGGGAACAACAAGTTTCGGAATTGCCAAATCAAGACAAGGAAGGACCGGCCTATAAGACTAGTTATAGAATCCAAAGGAAAGAAGGGAAAAGTGGTCAGTTTAACTGAAAAGTTTGTTGGTCTATTGGAGCGATAATCTGTTTGTTCGATCAGCCTACTAGAGATCGGAAATCTTGACCAGATTCTTGTCTTTGAGTCGAGGAAGAATCAAGGAACTCTGAAAAACACTTTAATGGATCTATAACCTAGTGAGCCCGATAAAACAGCCGACCGACTTCCAGTAATCTAACATCCTCCCAGCAACACTGAGAAACCCACACCTATTCCCCATTTTTAAATAGGACGGGCCTCTTGCCTAAAAAATTCCCAAAAAAATTAAAAAATAAACGTTTCTCCACTTTGTGTTAAACATGTCTGAACTGTCCTTCCCCCACGGCATATCGTCATCATTGCATCCATTAGGCATTCCATTATAGCCAGTTCCCACAATTTTGTTCTCCTTAACTATACAAGCCCCAACTTGTGTACACGGGTCTTTACTTCGAAGAGACGCCAATATTGCCGAACCCATAAAAAATTCTTCCCAGTTGAGGTAATCAGAACGTTTTTTGTTTGAATTGTTATCCAATAAACATTTTGTTTTCAAATCGGAATGGACACTGAAAAAAATTTTTTCAATTAAATTTTAGGACATTTTTAAGAAACCTTCCATTTTGAGTTGTCTGATTTCCTTCAAGTAATCCACTCATATATCCGTTAAAAGATAACCCGCTTCCTTCAAAAGGTTCTACCTTCTAAAATTAAAATGATAAATTTAAAAAAAAAAAAACAAAGAAGAAAATCGATAAACAAAGCCAAATTAAAAAACTTTTGGCAAAACAAAAATATTTTCATTAGTTAACAAAATGAAAATACAGTTTAATTAATTTCGAAAAGAAAAACAAGTTTGGCGGAATATTTAAAGTTTAAAAAACAATAGTTCTGAGTTATACTCTTTCCGGTTTTAATTTAATAGAACTTGAAATTAAACTTTTCCGGAAAGTTTATTACTGTGTTTTTTATAGTTATACTCTTTCCGGAAAGTTTTAATTGACTACAACACTTTTCCGGAACCTTTTAATTAGTTATAACTTTTCCGGAAAGTTTACTAGTATGTCTTTTGAGTTATATTTTGAGTTATATTCGTTCCGGAAAACTTTTAAGGCTAAGGCGGCTACTTGTATGTTAAACTAGAGCTTGATGTTAAACTCTTCCGGAAAGTTTATTACTCTCTTTTAGAGTTATATTCTTTCCGGAAAGTCTACTATGTATGTCTTTTGAGTTATATTCTGAGTTATTCGTTCCGGAAAATTTTCTCGGTTAAAGCGGAAAATATATAATTTTAAAACAGAACAAACTTTATTAAACGCAAGTACTGAATTCTGATTATAATCAAAATTGTTATTAAAATTAATTCCAATAGGTGAAGATATTGGACAACTATTAATTCCTTCATTTTTAACATTCAATTCATTTCCTTTCAAATTTTGTGAATAAATTAAATTATTATTTTGCCAATCATTAGAAGAACTACAAGGTTGGGGTGATTCTGTTGGCTTTTGTTGTTGATTTACTAATTCAGAAATAAACTTTAATGTTTCTTCGGTTGCCCTTTTATCTAGTTCTGTCATTAATTCGAGCTTAAAGAAGGAAAGATTTTAAATAAATAAATTTTTAAAAATTTTCCGGAAGAGAATACAAATATTCAGAGTTATATTCTTTCCGGAAAGCTTTAATTTAATATATATTTTTTCCGGAACCTTTTAATTTGTGATAACTTTTCCGGAAGTTATATTAATTTATTAGAACCTGATGTTAAACTTTCCGGAAAATTCATTACTATGTTTTTCCGGAAGGTTTTACTCAGAGTTATATTCTTTCCGGAAAGTTTGTTATATTTTTTCCAGGACTAATTAAATTATCCCTAATTTTTAACAAAAATCCAGTCCCCACCTTAGGCATTTTTTCAACAGGTTCTTCACCAAACATTTCATTACTAACTTCCAAATGTCTTTTTTGTGTAATATTAAAATTATTATTACTATAATTATTTATTTGATTAAAATTATTTGTTTGTTTTACTTTTTTCCCTTCCCCCAAAGAATTTGCCGGACTATTTAATAACATTAAACGTTTATCCAATCCATGCACCCTTTCAAGATGTTGCTAAAAATAATTTTAAAAAATAAAAAAAAATTTGTTTAAAACCCAAAATGTAGATGTTGATTTATCTTTTCTATTTCTAATACACCCACATAATCGACATTTTCCGCCTCCCTCAAATTCTTCAAAATAATCCCAGACAACTGAGGGCATTTGAATAAATCAGAATTTCTTTTATAATTCAAGTTTTATTTTATCTGATAATTCTGAAAAATATTTTAGAGTTATATATATTCTTTCCGGAAAGTTTTATACACCCATGACTTTTTAGTAACCTCTTTTTTCAGTAATTTATTAAAACTTTTCCGGAATATTTTAATTTATTAAAACTTGAATTTCACTTTTCCGGAAAGTTTATTATTTCTTTTGAGTTATATTCTTTCCGGAAAGTTTTATTTTCTTCAATTAAAAAATTTTATTTAAACGGCAAGGGAATGATTGAGAGGGATATAGAGGAGAAGACGGGAATGGATGTAAAGGATTATATTGATTGACTAAGAGAGAAAAAGGAAAAGCATAGGCAAATAAGGCAAATCGCTCCTCTTTCCCTCCTCCTCCCCTCCCTTCACAAATTATGGCCATCAATCCGCGCGCTCCAAAATTGTCAAGGAAAAGGGCCGAGGACATGAAGAGGGAAAAAAGTCGCGAGAAATTGATTGTAGATTTCAAAATTAAATAAATAAAAAAATTTTTGAGACCTCGGATTTATGTTATCCTAAATATCAACTTACCTCAGGAAACATAGGATGTCTCCAATTAAATTTATCCAGTTAGACAGCTGTGTTTGTTTTTGATATACTCTACAAAGTCTTTTTCAATCGGCCACTCCTATTTTTATTTTTTGATGGCCAGCTAAATATATCTCTAGTGTTCTCTTAAGCTTTGGTCAACCAACACATGTTGTAGTTACTCATCTTCAATTTTTTATTATTCACCTAATCATTAGTAAAAAAATATGGAGAATAGCAGCATTAAATAAACTATTTCCGGAAAGTTTTCTATTACATTATATTTCCGGAAAATAATATTTCACATATTATTCTATTTCCGGAAAGTTTATATTCTCCCGGAAAGTATATTTTATTTAATATTCTTTTTCCGGAAAGTTCTACTTGCTTCCGGAAAATAATATTTTATTTATTATTCTAATATTTCCGGAAAGTTTATATTATGTTTCCGACATTATACTCATTCTACTTTCTCATTATAATATTCTTCCTGAAAATCAAAGCAGAAACATGCCCAATTAATTTCCAGGCAAATCAATTAAAAATTTATCTTCCCTTTAATTATATATTTTTAAGTTAAACAGTTCGTGTTCTTGCATTTCGATGAATATAAAAGGATTTGGCATTATCTGTTCCGAAGGCCAGCCATTCGAACAGATTTTGGATTTTTTACAACCTTTTATGGAAAGGCCTAATATTAAAATTGAATTTTTGAGGATTGAAAATACACCTATTCCTGAGGTTATAAACAAATACTATTTTCTTTCAGGAGATTAAACTATTTCCGGAAAGTTTGAAATATTATTTTATTCAGTTATAATTCTAATATTTTTCCGGAAGGATTTTTAATTATAAAATTGTTCCGGAAAAGTTTAATTTATTTCCGGAAAAAGTTTAATTTATTTCCGAAAATGTATTATTATTTTCTTTCCGGAAAGATTTATTTACGGAAAAAGTTTAATTTATTTTTTCCGGAAAAATTATTATTCTCTTTCCGGAAAAGTTTTATTTATTTCAGGAAAAGGTTTATTAATTACTCTTTCCAGAAAAGTATTATTATTTTCTTTCCGGAAAGATTTATTTACGGAAAAAGTTTAATTTATTTTTTCCGGAAAAATTATTATTCTCTTTCCGGAAAAGTTTTATTTATTTCAGGAAAAGGTTTATTAATTACTCTTTCCAGAAAAGTATTATTATTTTCTTTCCGGAAAAGGTTTATTAATTATTCTTCTTCCGGAAAAAGTTTAACTCAAAAAACCTCTTTTAGTTGTCAGTTTCTACTCTAGCTTCTCTACCAATTCGTCACCTCATTCTTCGCAACAACTCACTCTCTCATTTTAAAGTTTTATCTTCAAGAAGTACTGAACTTTCAATTACCTCAACACTTTTTGATAATGTAGAACAATTGGAAATACAAAATAATGAAATTGAAAATATTCTAGACTGTCCAGCTTTAACTTTATTTACAAATTTGCAATCACTTTCCCTCGCTGGGAATAAAATAACTGAAATATTAGACAACACTTTTGCCTATTATAATTCGCGCAAGACGCTTCAACAGTTTAAAAAAATTTTTTTTTGAAATTTTTAATCTTTTTTTCAGACTCGATTTAAGCGAAAACCTTCTCTCCGACACTTCAATTAATTCCAAAGCTTTTGTTGGGCTAGAATTTTTACAAAAACTTTTTCTAGACAAGAATCAATTAAACAAACTACCAACCAAAGCTATAGCTAAATTATCTGATTCTTTACAAGAATTGTTTGCAAGTGCAAATCAAATTGATAGTTTGGAACCTGGAGATATTCCACCTCTTCCGAGGCTAAAAAGTTTGGGGCTGGATGTTAATCAGGTATATATAAGGAATTAAATTTCCGGAAAGTTTTCTACTTGATTATTTCCGGAAAATAATATTTTGTTTATTATTCTATATATTTCCGGAAAGTATATTTTGTACGATATTATTTTTCAAGAAAGATACTTGTTTCCGGAAAATAATATTTTATTATTCTACATATTTCCGGAAATTATATTCTATTCAAATAACTTTTCCGGAATAATTTTCCGGTGAATTTTATACAAATAATTATATTTAATATTCTTTTTCCGGAATGTATATTATCCGGAAATTTTTTCAAAACTCTTTTTCCTGAAAGTTTCTACTAGTTTCCGGAAAATAATACTGCTAGACAACCCCCAACTTTTAAACTAAAAATTAATTTTCTTCAAAGATAAGTCAACTAAATTCGAATATATTTACTTCAATACCTTCACTCTGGTATTTATACTTAAGTCAAAACCAATTTACATTTATTCCTTCTTCAATTTTTGCTTCTATACCTGAATTAAAAGTGTTATCAATGGGTGGTAATCCAATTGAAAGAATTGAAGATAATTGTAAATTTTTTTCTTAAAAAACTTTTTAGGTCAGGTACATATATATTTATAGTGTATTTTATTTTCTGAAAGTTTTCTCTACTTTCCGGAAAATATTTAGTTATAAAATAATTAGTTATACTCTTTCCGGAAAGTATATTTTATTCAATATTCTTTTTCCGGAAAATAATTATTTATTTATTATTATATTTCCGGAAAGCCCGAAAGATTATTATTTTTCTGTTTATTTTCCGGAAAAAAATATTTTATTTATTTATTTCTTCCGGAAAGTAAACATATATTTCCTTTAAATAAGTCTTTAATTAAATTACAAAAAAAAATTTTCCTTTAATTTTTAAATTTTTTAAAAATTTTCTTTAGCATTTTCTTTTGCAAATTCATTACTTCGCTTAGACCTGTCTCATTGCAAAATTAATTATTTAAATAATTGTTTCTCACCAATTTCACGCCTTCAATTTATTAATTTACGCGGAAACAAAATTAAATTTATTTCAAAAGAATTATTTGGGGGAGAAAATTCAAAACTTGAATTTCTTGTTTCTATTGATTTGGGACAGAATCAGGTCCTTTCTTCTATTAAAAAAATTTTTTTTGATTTTTTAAAGATTGAAAAGGTTGATAAATTCGCTTTTGCCGGTTTACCCCAACTCCAATCTATCGATTTAAGCTATAATCGACTAGAAACATTTGATTCCAATACTTTTAGGGGAACATTTTTGCAGTCAGAAAATGCTGCTAATGTGCAGATACTTGATTTAACCGGTAAAAAAATTTTTTTAATTTTTTAAAGTTAATAATAAAAATTTTTCCTCAGGAAATCCGATTAATTGCAGTCCAAACGAAACTGATTGGATATTTTCATTGAGGGGGAAAGTTCGAATTTTAGGAAGGTTTTTAATAGAGAAATTAAATAAAAACATAATTAAATTAAAGTTGTTCCGGAATGGGAGAACAACAACAAAATATTATTGAATTAGCAAAGATTGGTGTTGTTGGTGATGGAAATATAAAGTAATTTAAAGAGAGACAAAACTTGATTACGAAAGAAAAATACAAACAAAACTTTCCGGAAAGAAAATACAAAAACTTGATTAAGAAACAAAACACAAAAAAATATATAATTTTCCGGAAAGAAAATATACAAGAAATAAAACACAAGTTAGAGTTAAAATTCCGGAAAAACTTTCCGGAAAGAAAACACAAACACAAAAATACAACGAAAACACAAAAACACTCCAAAAATAAACATTTTAAGACAAACAACCAAAACAACATTAAAACCAAAAACAACGACAACAATACTTTACGGAAACAAAACCGGAAATGAACTAATAGAAAAGAAGACGAATAAAAGAATTAATAATTTGAAAAATTTAAAATTTTTAACACAAATAAAAAGGAAAAATGAAAATAAAGAAAATAAAATAGAAGAAAATAAAGAAATAAATCAAAATAATAATAATTTTTTATTAAATAATGAAACTAATAATAACACAACTAAAAGAATTGAGGAAGAAAATAATGCTTTAATAGAAGAGGAAGAAGAAGGTGTTTTAATAAAATCTAACAAAGAAGAAAATGGCTGGTTTGTGTTAAAACTTGGCAAGTTTTAATAGAATTCCTTCCGGAAAGTTTATTACTAGGTCGTTTCATAAAAAAGTTCGTTTTTTTTCACCGCATGTTTTTTGAGTGATAACTATTTTTATCCGATTTTGTTTTTATCTTATTTTGTAGCCCAAAGTCTTAGCTTCATAATGATACTAAAATTTTGAAAATAGAAAAGACCAAAAAATTTTTATGCCTTCAGAAATGAGCGTGGGTAGGGGTTTTATTTAGGAGCATTTACACATCCCGTTAAAACTAAGTAATAATGCAAAGCTAGAATCTAGAAAAATTAATGGAACATTAGACAAGGATGTGAACTAACATAATTTAGCTGAAAATTTTTCAAAAAAATTTTGTTCAGGGAGCGGCAAGACCAAACGTAAACATGGGTCGTGAAGACGACCGACTGTAAACAAACGCTTCCTTGCTCTCCGGTTAGAACAATATCCGGATATTTTTTTATTAGAATTGTAGAGGGGACATTGCTCTATAAGTACAATATGGCAATTGTTCGAAAAAACGGATCGTGAGCCGATGAGGACAAAAAGAGTAATGCACCAACCGACTAAGAGACAAAAATAACAAGGACTTTTTCTTTGCCTTTCAAACCCGGATATCAATCGAAAGGGTTATTGTTGGAATTGAATTGTTATATGTGCTGATACATATATCAATTACGCTTGCAAAACACAAAAAATTGTTTGAGGAAAAAAATTTAAGGTCCCACTTTTGGTTCCCCGCCCAACCAACTACCCAAAAAACGTATGTTGTGTATTCTTTTGGACGGTGCTCGGTCCGATGGTGTCGGAGCTACTTCAACTTGGTACCATTACAAACTCTAACATCCATATTAACTAATTTACCCAGGAAGATTTCGTTTGTTACCTTCAACGTCGCTAGGGACTGCTTACTAGACCTCTGGTTTTCCATTAAAATAACGCCCCTTTACACCGCTCATTTTTGACGACCTGCCATACCCCAAATAAACTTTTTTGGAAAGTGTTACCCCACCCCCCTTGTAGCCCTGAGTCTGCTCTATCAGATCAACATCATTTCACTTCTTTAAAAAATTTCTTACGGGACGGGCACTTGAAAGAAGACGCCAAGGTCGAGACTGTGGTGGGGAAGACAGTGCTTAAGAAAAGGGGTCAGATTTTTTTAAAAAGGGGTACCCACAAACTTTTTTCTGTATTAAGAATGTTGTCAAGACTCGGGGCAATTATTTAGTAAAGTTAGATTTTTTATCTGTTTGAGTTTGTTCGAGATTTATCGATTTTTCTTGGAAAATTTATTTTTGAAAAAAACGAACTTTTTTATGAAACGACCAGTATATTCCTTCAGGAATACTCTTTTTATTATTTTCCTTCCGGAAAATTTTATATAGTCCGGAATGTTTATATTAAAGATTATTTAATATTACAATTCCTTCCGGAATATTAATCTACGATTATATTCTTTCCGGAAAGTTTATTATATTCTCTCCGGAATACTCTTTTTATTATTTCCTTTCCGGAATATTTATATTAAAGTTTATTTAATATTAAAATTCTTTCCGGAATAATTTAAGATTATTATTTCCTTTCCGGAAAGTTTATATTAAAGTTTAATTTTTAGTTGTTGTTATTGCACTGATCGGTTTGGGTATTTTGGCTATTTTTATAATGATCGCTAAAGGGATATTAATTTTTAATTGTAAATTACTCAGTGAATATTTTACAATACGAAAGAACAGAATAAAGAATAATCGACAGAGAATGAAGGCAAGTTAAAAGAATTCCGGAAAGAAATATTTAAAATATTCCGGAAGAATTATAATTCCGGAAAAAATAGACAAACTATACTCTTTCCGGAAAATACAGAAAATACACCTATTCCGGAAAATAGACCTAATTTCTTTCAGGAAATTTCATTCAATAATTCTTTCCGGAAAATAATTTATTTTTCCTTTCCGGAAATTTATTATCTAATTTCTCTTTTCCAGTTTAATCTTCCCTCTTGTAAAAATTCATTTAACCCTTCTAACATACAACAACCTTCTTCTAGTCATTTTACCGATAACCAGAAGCAATTTAATCATTTAAATTATTACCTCAATAGCGGACTAAAAAGAACTAATATTCCTACAGTTTCAAATAGTATAGATTTAAATGATGAAGAATTAAAAGAAGAAGAAATTAATTTGAAGAGGGTAAAAAGGGAATTATTTTTCTTTTAAAAATAAAAAAACTTTTTATTTTTTCAAAAATTAATTTTTTATACATTTTCTATGTATATAAAAAATAATAATTTGACTGAGAAGTATGAATTGTTAAAATAATGAGAGAGAAAGGATAAGAGAAAAAAAAATATATTAAATATACCTTGGTTGAACAATATAAACCTTCTTTCCGGAAGGTTTATATTAAAATTCATTTAATTTCCGGAATAATTTAATATTATTATATTCTTTCCGGAAAGTTAATTTAATATTGTTTCCGGAATGTTTAGTATATTTTTTCCGGAATACTCTTTTCGTTATATCCTTTCCGGAAATTTAATTTAATATTACTATATTCTTTTCCGGAATGTTTACAACAAGCTTATACTAGTTGATATTTAGTTGATGCTTTCCGGAAAGGTACAGATATTTACATTGTATGTTAATTCAATTCAACCAAGATTTTTTAACTTTTTTGAGTTAAAATATTAAAAAAAATTTTTCTTGTGGCTAAAAATAAATTTAAAAATTTTGTCTTTTTCTTTCATTTTTTAATTTCTTATTTTAAAAAATATTTCTTCTTTATTTTTTTAATTTCCCCCATTTTCCCTTGTTGAAGGCCATAATTCAACTTTAGTAAATACATTGTTTAACTTATCCTCCTATAATAATTAATTTTTTCCCCTTTTTTAACTTTTCTTACTTTATTATTTTTACTATTTTCACCTCCAATTGCCCAACAATCTGTAGGTGTTATTACTTTTGAATTTCTAAAGCGTTTTTCAACCATTGCCTCAACAAAACCACAACCTATACCATCACCAATTACATTTACTGATGTTCGGAATCTATCCCTTTAATATTTTTTTGAAAATTTTTAGAAAAAAATTTCAAAAAAAATTTTCTTGAAATTTTTTCGTAAAAAAATTTTTTTTGAAAATTTGTAAAAAAAATTTTATATTTTTTTTCAAAAAAATTTTTTTTTAATTTTCTGTGGCCATTCTAAGCCCTGTATTTTTTTTAATTTTAAATTATTTTTTTTTTAATTTTTAATTAAATTTTGAAAAAACTCACAAAAGCCAATCAACAGCAATTATTAAAGTAACATCTGATGCAGGCAACCCAACCGCTGTTAAAACAATAAGCATTGTGACTAGACCAGCTGAGGGGATTGTAGCTGCCCCTACCGAGGCCAAAGTAGCTGTTAAACTGGATAGAAAAAAAAATTTTTTTGATAAGATTGATAACGAAGAAAAATAATCAGAAAAAACCAACGCAATAGTAACAACAGTCCCCGCATCCATTTCCAACCCATTCATTTGTGCAATAAACACAGAAGCAACAGCCTCATATAAAGCTGTTCCATCCATATTCACCATTGCTCCAACAGGTAAAACAAATTTTGTATATCTTGGTGAAACTCCAATAATTTCTTCTAAACATTTGAAGGTTACTGGCCTAAGGGAAAAAAATTTTTTTGAAAATTTTGAAAAAAAAAATTTTTAGAAAATTTTTCAGAATTTTTTTGTAATTTTTTTGAAATTTTTAAAAATTTATTTTTTGATAAAAAATTTTAATTTTAAAAATTTTCAAAAAAAAATTTTCTCTCCCTTACAAAGAAGCAGCAGATGAAGAAGTCCCTAAAGCAGTTAAACCAGCTTGAGTCAACCCTTGCATAAATTTGTACGGATTTCTTCTTGTTCCAATAAACAAAAGGGTTGGTAGTGTTATAAATAGATGTATAAGAAGTCCGGTTATGACTTTAAAAAAAAATTTTTGAAATTTAAAATTCCCCCCTTTACCAGTCAACATATAAAGTCCCAACATTTTTGCAGTTTTAGCCAAATCTGTAATTTCCAAAATTTTTGCTGCAATGAGGGAAGATATTCCTATTGGTGAATACCTTTTTAAAATTTAATTTTAAAAAATTATTTATTTTAATTTAAACTTACCACATTACAATACTAACCAAAGCAATAATTACTTTATCCAATGAAACGAATAAATCAGCTAATGGCTTAAAAATAAAATAAAAAATTTTTTAGTATTTTTTTTTATTTTTTAAAATTAAATTCCAAAAAAAATTTTATTTGAAAAAATTTTCAAAAAATTTTCAAAAATTTCAAAAAAAAATTTTTTTCCACACCTTAGCTTCATCACCAAGTTGTCCCATAGCCAAGCCAAGTGCAATAAAAAATACAATTAAACCTATTCGAAAATTAATTTTTAAAAATTTAATTTAAAAAAATTACCCAAAGAATTCATTCCATCAATATATTTATGTACCGAACTTGTTACAACTGTAAAAGTTCCAAGTTTGGGATTAGAAACATTTTTGTCAACATATTCTGTTTCTATTTGTTGAAAAGTTGCTCGTACAATATTATCAGGAAACATGTTTCTATAAAAACAAGTTTATTTTATTAATATTTGTATTTTTAATGTGTTTTCCGGAATTTCAAGTTTATTTATATTTTCAAGTTTGTTTTAAAGTTTATTTTCTCTACCAAGTTTATTTAATTTAATATTTATACAGTCAAGGTTATTTTTCAGTGTATTTTCCGGAAATTCAAGTTCCGGAAAATTAATTCTATTTTTTGTGTTTTCGAGAAATCAAGTTTATTTTTTCCAAGTTTATTTTACTTATCTCTACCAAGTTTATTTAATTCAACATTTATTTGTTTATACAGCCAAGTTTATTTTTTGTATTTTCCGGAAATTCAAGTTTCCGGAAAATTAAGTAATTTTTTTTCTCTGTCGTTAATTTATTCTCACACTCTCTCACCTTAAAACATCTGTCAATTTATCTAATGCAGAAATATCAGCAGTAGTGTTATCCAGTTTACTACCATATTCTCTTTTAATTGAAGGATCACCAGGGTGTATTAATAAAACAAGACAGATACCAGTCTTCAAAATAAAATTTAATTTTATCAAAAATATTATTTATTTACCACTACAGCCAAAATCATTGTAACAGAATAATAAATTAATGCAAATAACCCAATCCACCCAGACTGTTTAGCTTCAAGTTGGCTTAATCCAGAAACTAAACTGGCTGCTATTAATGGCAATATCATTGCTTTAAGAATATTCATAAATATTTCTCCTGGGAAGCCAATTAAATCTATTTCTCTTTAAAAATAAAGTTTTATTTTATTTCTCTAACAAGTTTATTTATTTTTAAAGTTTTAGTATTTTCCGGAATCTCAAGTTTATTTATTTTGGTTTGTATTTTCCAGTGTTTTCCGGAAAGTTTCTATCAAATAATTTTATTTAATAATCAATTATTTTTAATATGTATTTTCCGGAATTTTCTTTTGTATTTTCCGGAATTAATCTAGCTGTCAAGTTTATTTTTTATCTATTCATTTTTAATGTTATTTTTTTGTATTTTCCGGAAAGTTTATTATTTTTCTCTAAACTCACCTCTGTGTTAAATGTAAATGTCTCAGTCCAAACCCAATACCAAACCCAGCAAAAACACTAAATATTGTAAACAACAAAAGTATATTTTCTCTAAACAATTCTTTTTTACGTCGACGTGTTTTTCGTTGTTGTTGTTGTGATGTTTTGGATGGAGGTATTTTACAAAGTGATGTTTCATCGACAAATTCATCTCCTTTACCTCCACCCATTTAAATCTTAAAAAAAATTAATTTTTTTTATTTTAATTTTTTAATTTAAAATTAAAAAATCAATTTTTAATTTTAAATTTTATCCAGAAAAATTGAAGAAGAAAAAAAAAAGAATAAATAAATGGGGCCAGAAAAATATATTTTAATAAAAAAAAGTCAGATGAGAGAGAAAAAAATTTTTTGGGGGGAGGTGGAAAGGAAGGAAAAAATTGTTGAGTGTGTGGAATTTAATTATTATTTAAAATAGGGGGAGTAGATTTTCGAAACAAAAAAATTTAAACATCGAGAGAGGTCGTAGAACAACCAAAAAATTTGTAAGTAAAAAAGGTAATAAAAAATATCAAATTTTAAAGGAATTTAATTTTAGACCAAAAATTAGAAATTTTTATTGTTTTTTGAATTGATAAGAAAATTAAACAAGTAAAAGAAAGAAAATGAAAAGTAGACAAAAAAGGAAAGTGTCTAAGACGTAACCAGAATAGTCAAGAAAATAACCAGAAAAATTAAATAAATTAAAATAAATAGCTGTGTTTTTAATTTAAGTTTCCGGAAAGTTTGTGTATTTTTAATAATAAGAAAATAAGAGAAAAATACAAATAAACTTGAGTTAATAAATAAACTTGGAATTAAATAAACTTGAAAGAGTAGAACTTAAATTAAATTAACAAACTTGATTTATAAAAATAAAATTGAATTTAAACAAAGTTTTAAAAACAAACTTGTTTGTAAAAAAGTTTTAAAAAATGTTTAAAAAAAGGTTTGTTTTCAAGAAAGTTTGTATGTTTTAAAACAAGTTTATTGTTAAAAATGGCCGCGCCGAAATAACCCTTTAGAGAAACAATAAATTGATGAAATAATAATAAAAACTGGAAATATTTAATTTTTTGGGAGAGAAAAAACGTGGAAAAGATAAAATATATATTATGTGTGTGTGGACATTTTTACAAACAAAAAATAATAAAAAAATTAAACAAATGTTTATTTGCTTACTCGAGACTTGTGTTGTTGCGCTCACGTTTCTCCCTCTATCTTTCCCCCACATCCTTAACTATCCTTCCCCCGTTCAATTTACTTAATATTATTTTGTTGAATAAAAAAAGATGAGTTTTAGTTGGAAAATAAAACGAAAAAAAAATAAAAGATTTTTAAAAACAAAAGAAAACTTAAAAATATTTAAAAAATATCCAAAAATCTCCTCGAAATTTTTGGAAAAAAATATATAATGAAAAATTCTTCAAAAATATTATGGTACAAGAGGATTAAATTTGTTACAACCGGAAATATGTATTAATAAAATAAAATAAATAAATTATATGCAAATAACACCAATAAAAAATTATTAAAACAAAAAAATACTCACATTTTTTATTATTACATTTGTGTAGTGGAAAGTTGGAAAAAAAAGTTGATAAAATTAAATTCGCAATGTTTTTGTTTTGTTGTAAAAACGTTGCAAATAAAAACATTTATTAAAGAGATTATTTTTAACATTGTAGTAGAAGAAAATAAAATTAACCGGTTGTTTATTTTGTTGTTGTTGTTAAAATATGTTGGTCTCCTAAAGAGCAATTGCGCAATAACTAGAAGAGAAAAACATTTATTTATTATTTGTTTTAATAAACTTAGAAAAACATTTAAAAAATAAACTTGGAAACAAACTTGTAAACGAACAAAGTTGAATTGAATAAACAAACTTGAAATTCATAAATAAACTTGAATTTATAAAAAATAAACTTGAATAATAAACCTGAAACTTGAAATATTAATAAATAAACTTGAATTTAAACAAGTTTTAGAAACAAGTTTTAGAAAAAAGTTTTATTTTATATATTTACTACACTAATATATAAAATATATACAATTGTGGGTAAAATAAAACTTTGTTTAAAGTATATAATGTACAAAAATAGGCAATATATAGCTTTAAGTTGGGGATTTTCTCTAAAAATATAGGGTAAAGGTGAGGTATATATTAAATACATATATATTTACATATCTATTTTTTCTCCCCAAATTCTCCCTTTTAAGGCCCTAATAAAGGGTCAAAAAGTACAACACTCGCAATATGCCCATTATCCAAAACCTCAAAAATCATTTGATCAGTTCCATAACAAAATGAAGATCCAAAAGGATTTTCCCCTTCCGACGAACTTTTGTTTAGTACTACAGGGCCACTGAAAGTATCATTATTCCCTGTTGAAACATTTGAATTGGGTTGGTGATGATCAAAAAGTGAACGGAAAGCTTCCAACTTAAGACGGAAAAAATTTTTTGAAATTTTTAAAAAATTTTTTGGAATAAAAAAAATTTTTGAAAAAAATTTTCAAAAAAATTTTTCAAAAAAAAATTTTTTAAATTTTTTTTTGAAAAATTTTGAAATTAAAAAAAAATTTCCTACTTTCGATTCTGTCCCAATATTTAATTCTTCCATCGATTTTGTTTCAGCTTTCAATATAAATTCACATCTGTCATAAATACCAAAATCAAAATGGCCTGGGACGTTTGTATGTAAAACAAATTTAACTAATCGGCGAGTTTCAATGTCAAAAAGTAAATCCTTTAAAAAAAAGCAAATTGAGAGATTAAAATATAATTTTAGATAGTATATCCAATACCCCCCCCCCACCCTCTTTTCCTTCAAGACTCTGTCCCGTCAAGACATTACAAATATAACACCCCCCCCCCTCCACTCTCCCTCCTCAAGGTTGGGGGTTGGTTAGTTGTTGCCCATTTGTCTCTCTTCCCTTCTTCCACATTTCTTCCTCATTTTTCTCCAATTTCCCCATCATTCTTAATTTTTAAACTAAAAAAAAGAATAAGCCTTTCCCCATAATTAAACATGCAAATATAGTTGATAAACGTGAATTAAAAGAATAGAGGAAAAAGATAGATATAACAAGCTAACTAATAATAAAAAAAGAGCAGGAAAAGCCTCCCTCTTTCTTGCAACAAAAAGCTTTATTTAAATTTATGTAAATTCCCTCCCCTCCTCTTTCCATCTGCGGGAGTGTGTTTATGTATTTTGTTTGGTTGGTAGCCTTCAGTTTCTTTTAAATAAGGCGCTTTATGGCCATCAAAAAAAAAGAAAAGCAACGAAAAGATGATGGACAGCCCCGCTTGTTTATAACGACCCCCCCTTCTTATAACCAAGTACAAATAAATACAAATATATTGTCTAGAAAGAAAAAAAAGGAGAAAGGAAAAAGCGCCGCGCGCAAGTCTTGAAAAGTCTTTTGGCCATAAGAGAAAATTGGCCATAAAAGAGAATAGAAAAAAAAAACAAATTGAAAATTAAAATGCCACACAAACAAAAGAAATGATCAAAATGAAAGGCACAACAACCAACACCCGCTGGGTGACAATTTTTAAAAAATATATAAACCCAACAATTAGAGGCACCCTTTTAATGACAATTGGTGGAAGAAGAAGTAAAAAAATGGGAGAGAATTAGCTAGCTACCTAATATTTTATATTTTTATTTTTAAAAATGAGTTTTTACCTATTACTAGTGGTGCTAAACTCAAAAAAATTCTTTTTTTAATGCTAAAAATATTTTTGTAAAAACCCCAAAAAATTAATTTTATTTCCATTTTCTTTCTTATTTTTAATAATTTTTTAATAATTTCTTACCCTCCTCAGACTATTTTCAATCGCCCCCATATTCCTCCTCTCCCTTCACTTTTTACAAAAAAAAATTAATTTATTCAAAATATTTCGGCATCATTTGATCTCCCCCAATTTTTCATACTAATAAGCGCTTGTCATCTTCTCCTCAAACTCTCCCTCTTCAATCTCCTCTCCTCCTTCCAACAACAACCAACCAGCCTTTACTCAATCTATAAAAACCCTTCCTCATTTTTTGACATTTTTTTTAATCTTTTAAAAAATTCGGCGCGCATTTTTATGCAATTTTTAATGTTGAACGAGGTAAAATTGGAAAAAAATTGAAAAAAAGAAAGAATAACCGTTCAACAACCTCGATATTTGGTCATCTACCTCCTTCCTACTTCTCTTCCCCATTTAATTTTTAATTTTCCGTTTTTTTACTCGTTCAATTTTTTCCTCAATTTCCCCATTCTTCCATTCATTCAAACACAATTTAGCAGCAAAATACAAAAAAAGAGAGAAAAACGGAGGGAAAGATTTTTTTAAGTGAATGAAGGATGGCCTTGGGTATGGATTCTTTTCATTTTTATTCAGTTTTCAGTCTTCCTTCATTTTCATCATTGAGACAAAAATGCCTTCATTTTTGTTAGTATCCCCTCCTCAATTATAAAAAAATATAAACCCAAATTTTAGTCCATATACATAATTCTACCAAGCTTAGATATCAAGTAAAAAACCCAAAAAACCCCAAAGAAAAACATTCATTTATTCTAACTACTTTTTGTTCCTGCAACACCTAAATATTCCCATGGGAGTTTGTCATTTAAAAAAAAAAGTTTCTTTTAACTCAAAACTTTTACTTACTTAAATAAATATTCCCACATAAGCTATGTATATTTCAACTAGAATTCACCTAAAAATATTTTTCTTTTTAAAAGTGCCATCAATTTTCCCACACCAAAAAAATAGGGTAAAACATCTATATAATTCTTTCTCAGCATGAAAAATCTCTTTCAAAAATCTTTCAATCCTTTTTAGGTACAAAAATTGAAAATAATGAGAGAAAATATATAAAAAGGTCCTTTTAAGGATATATTTAGGTAAATGCGCACCCCCTCCCCTGTAAAAGGTCCTCCCTTCTCCCCAAAATTTCAAGGAAAAAAGCAAAGCGACAGGAGGGGACATAATAGTCTTCTCGGGGTTGTTTGGACAACGAAACGCGGTGAACACCTGGCCCCACAATATGCTCATTAAATATATACTACATTTTGCTCTTGCTATTTGCCATATATTTTTAGGATATATTAAAAAGCTCGGTTATATCTAACTAGTCTGAATACTTTGTTTTTCATTTTAATATAGGTAAATCCCCCCTACTCACATTGCGTGCCGTTCTTTCTCTCCCCTCATGACTCTTCCAATTTTATCAGATTTTCAAGGCTATAGGATCGGATATATATGAGAAATCTTGTGTAAGAATCTCGGTTCTCTGGAGCCCTCCTTAAAAGGTTTTCCCTCGTCCCAAAATTTAGGAAAATAGCAAAGCAAAAGGAGAGAACATAATAGCCTCAAGTTCAACCCACAAGTCAATCCTCAATCTTAGAGTTGTCGGTTCAGGACCGAATCGAATCGAACCGAAGAAACGATGATTTCTCGGTTCTTCGGTTCGGTTTTGGATATCCAAAGAATTTCCAGGAAATGAGAACCCTCAATCCCCAACTCCACATCCGCAAGCACGGGATTTTTCAATAAAAAGATTTTTCTCGATTGAATTTAAGTCGCCGATTTCTCTCTCTACATGTAACGATAAATTTATTTTAATATTAAAAATCGCCCAAAAACATTAAAAAAAGTTTGTACCAAAAACAACCCGATTAAAACTTTTCTTCTCCTTTATTGTTCTCCCCCTCCCCCCATCTATTCCTTTTACCAATCCACTTTTTTTCTTCTACCTTTCTTTCATCTATTCATTCAAGAAAAAAAGCATTTTATGCCTTAATACAAAAAAAAGTCTTCCTTCCCTCCCTCCTCCAAAAACATTAAAATCCGCACAGGATTACCTCGTTATATCCCCCAAAGCCATTCGACGCTCGTTTAGGTGTTTGGGGGAAGGAATTGACCTGGTACACATTTATATCCAAGTACATTTTTTTTCCAATTTTCTGTCGTCCTCTTTTTGCGCCCAATTAATTATTTGACGCTTCAAAAGGGTGAGATGAAACAAAAATGGGAGGAAAAAAGATGAAAGAAAAAATTTAGAAAAAAATATTCCTTCAAAAAATATTCTTCCTCCTCCAAATAAACCCCCCTCCCTCCTCCGAGTATCCCTCCTCCCTCCCTCCTCCAAGTATTCCCCCTCCCCCTCACATATGGAACAATTTTAGACCAAAATTCTACCAATTCCACCAACTAACTAAACTAACTCTCTTGACCCCTCTTGTACTATTGTTAAGCAGATTTTTTGTCCAAAAAAAAGAAGAAAAAATTATTTTCTTCATGTTTTGTAGTAGATTTCCGGTCAATTGAAGCTAATTTTATGGCCCTTTTTTCTATCTCTCATTTTTATTTGTTTCAATTTTTTCTTCCTTTTCTTCCTTTTTTAAATATCCTCTCTCTCATCTCAAGAGAGATATAATATATTTTTTTTCAAAAATACTTAAAAATTTTTTATATTCTCTTAATTTATAAGCTTATTTTTCTTCACTTTTAAATCATCCAAATGGACACAAATAATTTAAAAAGAAACGAGAAAAACAAGAAAATATGCGAACACGTGCCCTCCCTCCCCTCCCCTTTATCTCCTGTCCACTTCTTATCCCCCTCTAGGGAAGAACACTAAAAACCACCCCAACATTTTTCTTTCGTTTTAAAAAGCGGTCAGTCTCTAGTTTATAGTAGCAAAAAGTCCCATATATCGGCTAATCCCTCTTAGTATTACCTCCCTATCCTTCCCCATTTCCCCTATATTTTTCCCCTTTTCGCGCAGTTGAACAACAAAGCCTTCTTTCAAATAATTGGCAGTAAAAGCAGCAAAACATATAAACACACACAAATACAAAAATATATTATTATATAAAGTTAATAGGTTATTCTCTGTTATAAACCTAAATATACATACATATTATTATTTACGACATACAACCTATAATTGGTCATAAAATTATTTTTTAAGTCGAGAAAAATTTTTTATACTTGACTAATCATGAATTTCGTGCTTATAAGTCGAGAAAAAATTAATTTATAATATTCTATAAACTTATACTTCTCACCAACTTACTAACAACCACTCAACTCTCTTTTCCTTATAATTTCCCCAATTAAAAAAAACTTTTTTTTGAAAATTATTTTAAACAAATCGTTTAGAAAATTAAATCGTCTTCCCAAAATATTTTTAAAAAATTCCCAACCTAATTTTCAACTTATTTTTCCCCCTTTTCCCCTATTTTAACCTTAACTTATCCTCCTTCTCACCAACTTAACTACCAGCTTTACTCAACTCTCTTTTCCCCTTCTCTTCCCCCAATTACATATATAAAAAATTCTTTTTTAGAAATATGCAAATTTTTCCAATCGGCTTTTTGCAAAAGCCGGCTGGCTGCTCATATTTTTATGAAATTTGAGAATAATTTTTTAAATTAACAGGAAGAATATTTTTCCTTATTTCTTTTATGGAAATGCAACTCTCCCTCTCCTCCCCCCCCCTTCTATATCTCATTTTCAAAATAGGCACAAACAATGTGTTTAAAATTATAAATATAGAAATTGGATATATAAATAACAAAAGAAAATCATCCAACCCACTAAATAAATATATTTTTCAATTTGTTTATATTAAGAACAACCAGCTTCTTCCCATTTTTTTCTATCTTTTATTTTTCGAATTTTCATTTAAATTTGCCAGATCGAGATCAGAACAAGAATCAGAATTAAAAATCAGAACAAAAATCAGAA